CGTAGCATTTCAAATGCATGTTACATGAGACCATGTCTGCAACCTGACAGGCACCCTGTGGGTCAGCAGATGACCCGTCAGGTTAGTATCTAATATAGAGCAGCAATTGTTCGGCAAGCTGGGAGAGAGAATAAATTGTCATTAAATGTATTTTCTTTTAATTCTCTTAATCAGTCGCATAATTATTTTACTAGAAAATGTCATTTTCAAAACACATTTTTTTTCTCAGTTTGTTAATATTTTCTTACCATCTATTCTCTTATCTATTTATTTCTACTGTCATATGATTCTGAACGCTACCATCTGCTGCTCCTACATCGGGAATCTCCCAAATCTGAAACACCATTATCTGGAAACGCACTGAATTAAAGCATCATCAAAATTATACCTGTGGGATATATAAAAATGGAAAGAAAGTATGCTAACATTAGCTTAGCATTAAAGCAAATCAGGGGCAGGATGTTAGATTGTCGGAGGCTGTAGCTTTACGTGTCTAATTGGACTTCTTCTTTATGGGATAAATGATGAAGCTCTGAGTGTTTTAGATGATTGTCAGAAGATTATAGAGGTTTTGTTAACCAAAAAAACAAAATACAGAGCTTGATAAGCATTTGAGGCTGATTAGCAGGCCTCATTTAGACCAGGAAAAAGAACGGGAGAAACTACTGCATTTAGAAAATTGGTCAGTAAATTATGCTGTATTATTTAGGTTTACTTTGATGGATAACAGTTTTAAAGTATAATCCTAGTTTTGTTAATTTTCACTAATAGCTAGAACCTTTAATATATATCCTACAGAGACATTTTAGTTCTGGGAATCTTAAAAGACCCGGACAGTTACAGTAGCAGCCATTCAAAATGGCCCTTCCCACTCAAATGGCAGACTACTCACCTGCAACTCTCAGCAAAATCCCCTCTATGAACATGTTATTCTTACTCTCACTCCACCCTTTCACTGAATTACAGGGTCTGACCATAACGCTTCTCTTTAGATCTTAATGTCCACAAATCATGACAGAAGAATATTTCAGTACAAAGACTGATGCTTAAAAAGGAATTGTAGGGGACCAGCCAAGGGCCCATCAAGGAAAGTAGGGAAATTTTTAATGGCTGCCACTGTAGGATGAATAAAGAACTCCACCAGTGTGTCCTGACCTCAGTCCTCTCCATCCTCTTCTGCAGGTCGGCCACCAGTCGAGCCATGTCCTCATCTGACTCTCTGTCTCCACGTTCCATTTCCTGTCAACATCAATGTTAAAACTCAGCAACCTAAATCCTCTCAATCAATCCCACCGATGAGCAGCAGATGTCAGGATCCTCACCGGTCTTCCACTTTCTTCCCCCCTTTCCTTCTTGAGCTGCTCGATGGCCTGCAGCAGACCTCGGTAGTCGGTGATGCCGTACATTCGGGCGTATTTCTCGTACTCTTTGGGGTCGACATTTCTCAGCAGCTCAACTATGTCGATGTCCTTTTCCTCCTGTGGGCTCTTCTGCTTGGACGGCGTCCTGGAGGTGACAGGAATCATATATCAGTGTTTTCTACTGACTCAGGTTCTAACTGAGAAACTTCTCCTCCAAACTCACTTCTTCAGTTTGGCCCGCAGGTCTCCTTCAACCTGCGGCGCCTCCTTCTTTGCGTCAACGTGCATATCAGCGCTGCACTCGATCTCTCCGTGAGTGTTGGAGGCAACACATCGGTACTGACCAGAGTCAGACTTGGTCACCTCTCGGATCTCCAGCTGGGCTTCCTGACCTTTCTGCACGATTGCGATGCGGCCGCCATGAGTGAGCTGTCTCCATTTCCCTTTCATCCACTTCACACTTGGGATGGGTTCTCCTCCGACCTTAGCGATGAAGGTGGCGGTTCCCTCTGTGGAGACAGATTGATGTTAGCATGGAAACCACTGAATTTATCAGGGCTTTCTGTTTTTGTTTATCTTACTCTCTGTGACATGTGTGGACTTGGGCTCCTCAATGAAGTAAAGATTGTCCATTTTGGGGGTTGGAGCAGCTGCTGGAGTCTCAGGCTTAGCTGCTCCTTGTTTCGCTGGAAAACATCAAAACAAGAAGGAATGAGAACATCTTTCATTCAGAGACTAAAGTTCTGCATCCATGCTAGGTCTCCAAACTGCAGACAGATCTGAGGACGATCAGATTCTACCTTTGACTGTGACTTTGGCCTTGCAGAACTCTGCGCCGGCCTCGTTGGTGGCCTTGCAGAGGTAATCACCAGCATCGTGTTTAGAGGCAGAGCCGATCTCCAGGCTGGCTGTACCGTCAGAGAAGCTGAGCCGGATGCTGCCTGCCGATGACAGCTCCTTCCTGTCCTTCATCCATTGGACCTTCAGAGGGGCGGAGCCACAGACGTGGCACCTGAGGCTCAGCTTGTCCCCTTCATCCACAGTCACTGGTTTGAGTGGAACATCAAACACTGGAGGCTTCTTGGATTCTGAGTATGAGAAGAAATTATTTGAGCCGCAAGCACAGAAGATCAGCTGCAGAAAACAGCAAGAAATGGAAATCACACCAGCATGATAGTTCGCAATCAGATTCTGGGAACTTTGGAAATGGAAAAAATATGGGGGCTGTTGGGAAAAGATTATCAGTTTACAAAGCTAATAATGTCTGCTGGAAAAAACCTAAACGTCCCATTAGACGAACATGCAAATATGAGAGAATAGAGGAACCTGAGAGAGACTAAAACAGCCTGAGAGACTAAAACAACCCGATAGAGAGAAGAGGACCCAGAGCAAGACCAGAGGAACCTGAGAGTGACTAGAACTACCCTAGAAAGACTAGAAAAACCTGAGAGAGACCAGAGGAACCTGGAAGATACTAGAAGAACCTGAGGGAGACTAAAAGAACCTGAGAGAGACCAGAGGAACCCGTGAGAGAACAGATGAACCTGAGAGAGACTAGATGAACCTGAGAGAGACTAGAAGAAACCGAGAGAGACCCGAGGAACATGAGAGAGACTAAAATAACAAGTGAGACTAGAATAACCTAAGAGAGATTAGAAGGACCTGAAAGGGACTAAAGGAACCTGAGAGTGACTAGAGGAACCTGAGAGA